GGCAAGCGATGATTCTACTGAGCCATCTCCCCGGCCTTGGCCGGGTCTTCCTGATCTTATTTATTTATTTATTTTTTAATTGTATTTATTTATTTATTTATTTATTTATTTGGCAGAACCAGAGATTGAACTCAGACCCTTGCACTTGCCAGGGAAGCTCTTATTCTCCTGAGCCATCTCCCCAGCCCCTTAAATTTGCTTTTGATTCTTAGAATCTATTGCTAACTGTGGTGTGCTTCAAAGTGAAATCAAGGAAATGAATGTTTGGGTAAAACTGTATTTTCTTCATTGTTTCTTCTCCAAATCATTTAGCCATATCTCTACTTATATGTCATGGTTTATACTTTTGCAATATAAATAAGGCTATACATGCATTCATACACATATACAGTATATTCTATATGAGTTAAAGTGCAGCATCTGTACAGCTTGTGTTTATGGAGTGCTTTTTTTTCTTTTTCATGATACTGGAGATTAAGCCCAGGGCCTTCTCACTGAGCCACATCCAACCTACCTCTGTTTCAGCCTGGAGGGGATTGGCAGGCCGAGGGGAACAGGTGGGAAGCTCTAGGAAGGCAGTGCTCTCTGGAGAAGAGATGCTTCCATTGAGGCGCACACACTGGTGCAGCCCTGTGGATGGCAGGAGCCCAGTTGGTCCTAGAAGTGGCTCACGTTCCAGCCGAGCAGGTGGCCACTGCTTTGTCAGGTGACCATTGACTTGTGAGGCAGGAGAGATTGAGAAAGGAAGCCAAAGCACTGATAAAGTGCAAAGAAAGCCAATTTGAGTTATGGTACTGCTAAGTTGCTAAGACTGTCCAAACTGGACCTAAATTGGCAATCTTGTCTTACCCAGCCAGCACCTTGCAGTAATAGGGAGGCACCATTATGCCTGGCTTGGAGTAAATGTGTTGACAAAACAGTATATGGTAGAGCCCACTTCCCAGTGGAGTGCAGCAATTCATACCATTCTTGCTTTGTGGCCACATAGCTGTCCACTGGGATGAGCCCTCTTTTGATCCAAAATTCCCTACTAAGGAGACTCTCTTATTTTCTGTCCTTGCAATTAGACAGTGTTGCGGTGACTTGGGCCTCCTGCAAAAGTCATTTTTGCAAGCGCACCCTTGGAACAGATTCCTAGGATTGGGATTTCTTGGTCAAAGGGTAAATGCATGGGTGGCTTTCCTAGGTGTTGCCCAACTCGCTTTAATAAGGGCTGCTCCATTTCCTAACCTCGTTGGCTTGGGTATAAACATCTATTTCTTTATAGCCTTTCCAGCAGCGTGCGCCACTAGGCTTTGGGATTTGTGCCAAAACCATCATTCATAAATGGCGTTTCATTGTATTTTTAATTTGTGTGTTTTTAATTTTGAGCGAACCTTCAACAAATATTTAATAGGTGTCTGTTATGAACAAGTTCCGTGCTCATAAATACTGAGGGGACAGAGGCCCAGAGCACAGTTGTTGTTAGTGTGGTTTGGGCTGTTTTCAGGCAGATGAGCTGAGGAGGCAATTGCATTAGGCTCTGGCAAGTTGGGTGCCTGGATCCCAGGCAAGGAGCACTGAATCCAGGCAGCCAGGGCTGCAGGACGTGGCAGTTTAAGGCAGTGGAGTTCTTGTCGACACCTCAGGCTAGCTGATTGTTCAGTGAGTTTGTGAAGGGACAGGTGTTCAGGGAAGCGAAAGGCAAGTGCTGTGGCCTGAGGGGTGGGAAGGGAGCCTGGCAGGTGCTGGTGGACATTCTGCAGAGGGAGTCTGGACCTCTTGGCTGCAGCAGCCAGGCAGGGGGTGGAGCTGACAGGGCTGACATGCTTGTGAGGGCTTGGACAGTGTGTGGTGCTGAGGGGCATCTGAGGAAGCTCACCTTCAACTGGGAAGGTGGCAGAGGGGCGCTGCATTCCTTTAGGCCATCAGAAGGAATTGGACATTTGAGAACAGGGCACCTGTGAACCAAGAAAGGAGAGCTCCTCAGGGGTGAGGTGGCCCTCAGAGTACCCCTGACTCAGACTGCACAGGGCAGATTTGGGCCAAAGGGTAGAGCGGCAGCCCTGTGTTGCTTTGCCCGGAGCTTCCCGGCTGGGCACCGCGGCTCCTCTGTGCTGGAGAAACCAGAATGGCTCCTTCCCCCTGACATTCTGTCAGTAACGTTGCATTGTCTGCTAGAGTTGCGGCCGCAGCCAGGAAGCACAAACTGCGAGACCTAAAGCAAAAGAAGTTTCTTCTCCCTGCTCAGGAGGGCAAGAGTCCCAAACTGAGGCGCTGGCGGGGCCACACTGTCTCTGGGTTCTCCAGGGAAGAGTCGAGTTTGGTTCGTTCTTCTTGGCTTCTTGTGGTTGACACCTCAGCCGGCTCCCGAGTGTGTAGCTCCATGACATTCTCTTTTTCCT